CCCCAAAACCCCAAAACCCCAAAACCCCAAAACCCCAAAACCCCTTGAATGAAGCCTCAAATAGAAATATTGTTTATAATATTTGTTGCCAGATTAGCAATCATCGAAGTTCTCCATTTTTGGGATCTCTATTGTCCATTCTTGTCCAGATTTCTCTGAATATCTCTTTGCACTCTTTCCAATAGAATCTGGAGTGAATCCACTCTTGTCCATGGGATTTATCATTCTGTAGTTGTACATGGAGGTATCATTTTCTTCTGAGTCCAAAGGACTTCCCTTCAGTTTAGATTTGAACAAGGAATCTGTCTCATCTTTATCAAGCAAAGGTGATTTTCCGAGAGCATTCTTTAAAGGAGTTGAACCTAATATTGATAAAGAAAACTTACCAATGTTACTATTACTAAGATTAAAGTCAACATTAGGAGATTTTTCATCCAAATCTGTCTCATTATAAAATTTGCTGCTCTGCTGCTCTTGTTCGTTAGATTGGATCTGGCACTTGCTCTTCTGAGATGAAGGATATTTCACTGGTATGTCATAAGAATCTTCTTCATTTTCTGTGGATTCATTTAAGCTGGGCTTGTCAGGATTCTTTAGTTTTCCAAATCAAAACTCTCCTGTATTCTTGAGGCTTTTATTTTCTTCAAATTTTGGACTGAATTGAATCTTGTCTGAGTTCTAAAGAATTAAAAAATTGTACCATTTTTGGAGAAAGTTCAAGCTCCTCTGTGCCTATTCAAGCATCTGATGTTGGCTTTTGGTATTTATAGTTCTTCTCATAATAACTAAGCTTTTCTTTGAGAGCTGCTACTTCTCTCTGAAGTTCTTGTATTTTATCTGCCTGCATCTTGGAATGCATATCTGGATAGTTATTGACTTTATTCGAGTATCTGTTGACGTCAGGAGAATGCTTTGGACTCATTATTTCTAAGAAATCTGATTGTGTTTCATTCATTCCGTATCTCATGTTATTTGCAGAATTATCACTAGTTTGCTTTTTAAGTAACCCATCGAATCTCAATGTCTGATGGCTAGCTTCAACATGAGAGAAATTTTTACTCATCGAAGGAGTAACATCTCCTTTAAGTACCATATCAGAGCTATCGACATTCTTCCCACTTGAACAAGAGATATTGAGTGTCTCTAGTCTGCTTTCTCCTTGCTTGAGGTTGCCTGCTCTTGAAGAATTATCTCTCTGATCCTTTGGAGGATTATAACTTCCTCTTACATGAGGCATCTTGTGCGCTTGCAAAAGACTCCTCTTTTTAAATTCATTGGAAGCATTAGGAAACAGCTTAGTTAAAGTATTAGATTTGGTCATAGTCATCACTCCATTGGTAGTCATTGGTACGTATGATCCTAGAGAACTATTTCTTCCTCTCTGAGATGAGATGTTTGTGTGGATATTCTCCATGTTTTCTGAAATTAACTTGAGCCTTATGTTCTCAGGATGGTGGGCGTTTCTATCATTGGATTGTCTAATTCCAGCTGAAATACCCTGGTTAGAATGGTCAATAGTATTCCTTAATCTTCCTAAACTTCCCTTATGCTCCATACTCATTCTTGAGCTAGTAATGGATTTACGACTACTGCTTCTATTGTTTTTCCTCTTGAAAATATCCTTAATACAATTCTTGACACTTTTAGAGCAGTAGGCATTAAGTATCTTTTGATTCTTATTTTGTGAAATTCTAGTAATTTTATCAACTTTTACTGTCTCACTGCTGAAAGGATTTTTATTGTTTAGTCCTAAAACAGTGCAGTAACCTTCTAAAGTCCTTTTAGTCTTTATTCCATGCCTTTCTGTCCCAATAGAGTCTCTAATGTTTTGAAACACACTGCTAAGGGAGAATTCGTAAAATTGGGGAGAACTACTTTGGTTCAGGAAGTGTACAAGTAAAAACTTGTCTTTCTTATCAGAAATTGAGAATCTGCCTTTTATTTTCTTGTCGATTAAGAATTTTACAAGAGCACTCCATAGAAAGGGGCTTTTGATAAGTGAAAGCTTATACTCTTCCTTGTTGTTTTTAATGCTAAGCTCGCTTTCTCTGACCATATCGCTCTCGTCTGAAGATCATTGGTAATTCGGGATGTCAAGACCATAAATCCAAACTCCTACTCATGGCTTGTCTAAGATCTGGTCTAAGTTTGTGGGTACAGGAACCAACCTGGAGACTTCATCAAGAGTGAGATAGCCTGAATTCATAGACTTCAATTTTGCCTCAGGATGTTTTGGATTGTTTACTAGGATATTCGATAAAGGATAATTTCAAATTTTCAATTTAGAAATCTGAGTAATGTCAAAAGCCACATTTGGATGTGCACTAGTCAAGTATACCAAATCAATAATATCAAGAATATGCTTTATCTTCCTAGGTGAGGCTTCTAATTGATCTAGTATTTCAGCATCAGAGAAATCGAGGAGATTATCTTGCTGATTATATCCCTCAGATTGGTTCTTCTCTAGTGTTTTATTATAGATACTCATCAATTCTTCCTTAGTCTGGGTAGATCTTCTGCGGTTAGAAAGCTCGATAATACTCTTGGCGGACATAGATTGGATGCCAAATTGCATCTCAATTTCTGAATCCTGCATATGAGGATCATTCTGGTCTTCAGGACATTTTAGATAAACTGCTATTTTCTCTCTATCAATAAAGTCGACTTCTGTTCTTATTATTTTCTCTCATAATAATGAATCATGCTTTTTGTAGAAGGAAAGAATGCTTTTTATATTAAGCTATGATTAAGTGAGATTTTGTTCTTGCCCCATTGGTAAGGTCCCACTTGGACACTTTCAGCAATTCTATAGAGCCAGATCAACAATAAAGAGACTGGTAAGTACCAAAAAATGTCCATGAACATACCGGGATATTTTAATATTTACCATATTTTGGCTAGACCCAAGGTAAAGAGAAGGCTTGTATTCTATTCTGGTTGATAAGTGCTTAGACAGTTCTTTGAATAATTTCTTGCCAACTGAGCCTTCCTTCTTTCCTAAAAGATAAAAATTAAATTTTGTAGAGCGCGCACTTACTTGTAGAGTTTTCATTTGAGAATTTAGTAGACACCCGGTTATTTCTGTTTGCGTCTATATAATCAATAGATTAATAATACTAAGCCAATTGTAAAAGATTCTCAAAAGAATTTCAGTGAGCTCTCCTTTAGCATGGCAGAAAATGATGACAAGAGCGATCTTAACTTCCTAGCAATGTAAGTACTAAAATTAACAAAGGAATCAAAAATTTGGTAGCTTTCCTAATGAAACTCAATAGAGCTTGGTAACTTTCAAACAGATTTAGTCCATCTAAACATAGCTTTACAGCCAAGTATTATGGCAGAGACATTTGTAAATTCGATATTCGATAATAGGATTATCACCATTGCGCAACCTTAATTTAAAGGTTTGGCTTAGAGTGCTCTTAATCTATCCTCTTCTTCTGATTTAAAACACTAAAATATTCTTAATTCCTGAGAAAAATCCGATACTCCAACTAGCCTGGAAACACTTTTGATGAGGTTCTACTAAAATTATATCATTTCTAAAATAACTATAGAAATGGAGCAAGTCAGAATGCAAGTTACAAACTAAAGAATACCTTCAAGATGACTCAGAAAGGAGAACATGTTGTGAAGATAACTGCTAAGGATTTAAGCAACCTTGAGGAAGTAAATGAGGAATTGGAGCTTTCAAGTCCCAAAAACTTCAGACAAAATTCAAAGAATAAAGATCCTTTTGGTGGCCATCTTGAAGAAGATTTAGACAACGTGGACATCGAAGCTTTATTTAACAAGGAGCAGACACCTGCTCTATTCAGAGGCACCTCTGGTGTGATAGATCCGCAGACGCTTAAGCGAAAGTAGGTTAAGATAAGGGAAATATATTGTTCCTGGTCGCCACTTGTAAAATTATCAGTCAATATTTTTAACCACACCAGGGGTTTTGGGGTTTTGGGGTTTTGGGGTTTTGGGG